AAAATTATTTTAATTTGCCGGGATAGGGTGATAAAGAACTAAAAACACCAATTAAGGAATATTGTCGTTTTAATAAAACAATTATCACAGTACAGAGTTCGAACACATGATTTCATGAACTTAATTGAACATTTGAATGTTTTAGATCACATTGACTATTTAATTGTATTTTATTTAATTAATTAATAGCATCATTAATATCAACTGTTAATTATTCGAGCGTAAACAATATTACTGAAATGTAGTTATTTTAAACAATTGCGTTACAATAAAATTAACATGAACACGACAATTGGTTAAGCGCGAGATGAACATGACGAATGCGTTTTTGAGACTGACTATTTTCCACGTGAAAATATAAAATATAATTTTGAATTAATATAAGCCGCCTTGGAATGTCGGTTTTGGTGACTCATCACCTAAGCCGAGTCCAAGTTTGTTTTGAAGTAATTAGAAATAATTAAATGATTATAATTAATTGTTAATGATTAATTAAGAATTACTCTATTATTATTAGCTGAATGCAATTGATAAATAAATAATAAGGAACACAATGAGTTTAGTTGAAAGATAAAGATAAGCTTGATCATCATAGAACGTAAAATTGAACACCGAATAATAATAATAATATTGAATGCATGAATGTGTTGAATGTATGTGATTACGAATGTATTTGTATATATATATATATTATATGCTAACCGTAAGATGGACGGTGTGGTTTAATGTATATAGAATAAGTAAAAGGAAATTTAGTATAGACCGGATAGCTCAAATGGTAGAGTAGCCGACATGTCTTCGGAAGGTTCTGGGTTCGAATCCCAGTCCGAGCTATCTAATAGTTTTTTCTCGCATATTCTATAAACTCACATTAAGATGATCCTCTCCACAATCCTTTCTCAATCCTTTCCTACCAAAATATCCTGTTACGTGAATGTTGGAACGCTTCACGTAATAATTATCCGTAACTCCTATTCTTTCCTGCTTCACAGCATTATTTATATTTGTTAAAAATGCTAGCCGTAAGATGGACGGTGTGGCTTAATGTATAATGTTCCAACATTCACGTTTCCAACATTTTTATCTGTTCTTGTTGTAGGCATTTATAAAGGTACATGTAATGTGTTCAAATTGAAAAAGCATTGGGGAGAAAATTGGTTTGGCTTCCTTGTCGTCATCATGTATTGGAAATTGTTTTACGAGGAGTTTTTGAAGTTTTTTGGACCACTACATCTGGTCCTAACGTCCCGATTTTCCTTCGTTTTAAAAAAAAAAATGATGTGGTGTCGTGGGACACCAGGTAGGAACGAAGTTCCTTCGGCTAATGTAGAATCGACACAAATTGCAAAAAAAATCGTGCTCAATTTTATGTAGATTTTCTTGATTTTTCTCTTAAATTTTGCTGATTAGTTTTTATTTAAGTACAAGAAAGTATTTAGGAAATTCAGTATTTTAGGAAATAATAAATTACTTAAAATAAAAAAACATTGAAATTATATGAAAAATAAACGTGGCTACTCACGAGTAAAATGTATCTATAATGTGAGTATTCGCCACGTGCTTGTCCATGAATTCATGAGTACACGGAGAGAATTTTATGTTAACCCTAACAATACTTGTTTTGTAGATTTTACTATCTTAGATGATAATTAATTTTATAAAAGTTAAAATGATAAATATAACAATTTAAATTATAATCAATACAATAATAAATAATAATTCCTAAAATAGAGCGATCGTACCATTTACTATCGAGATGGTTACATTTACCATCACAAGTAGTTAAAGTTACCAATTGTATTATAAGCTATTCAGTAAAAGTAAGCACTGAATTCAGTAAAATTAATATCAACAACATTATCAATAATAGAATAATAATAATTTATATTATTATGAGAATAAGCAAAATTTTGTGGCCAGGGTATTTATATGCCAGGGTATGTGGGTACTCAAATGAAAGCTCTTGATGAGTGTAATATCGGGATGAGCTTACATCTTAAAAAATATCAATAATTAAGAAATGACCTTGTATCTTGTGAACTATTGACATTTTTTAAGATATAAGCTCATTCCGATGTTACACTCATCGAGACCTTTCATTTGAGTACCCACATCAATTTTTCATATATTTTATATATTTATATATATTATATATATGTAAATATGAAAAATATATCAAAAATGTATGTGCGTAATCAAATGAAAGCTCTTGATGGGTGTAACATCGGGATGAGCTTATATCTTTAAAAACGTCAATAGTTAAAGAAGTACAGTGCAATTTAAGAAAACTCATTATTTCATGAGGCAAAATTTTATTTATTTATAGTTCACAAGTCACAACAGTCACATAGTGACTGCAAGGTTACTAGTAATAATAATAATAATGTGGTGGTAGACATAAACTGAAAATTAAAATTAATTTGTTTTCACTCTAAATAATATTAGAAATTACTTTTATTTAATATAAATATCAATTTGATA